TCTTTCATGATTCAATTCATATAATGAGAAAATAGTATTGGTTTTTTTGACTTTTTTTTCTCAATTGAAGGTTTGTTCCTTCAATTAAAAATCGATTCATGAACTTGTCATATTGTGTCCTTTTGAGTAAAACAATTAGTGATCATTGGTACACAAACAAATATTGACGGTCTTTTAATTGAGGAACCAAAACTCCAATTCAACTAAAATATAAAGACATAAGGCCTAGCTTTCTGTCATATAACGCTCAATCTGGGATTTTCATACACTAGTAGTATACTCTATATAGAGAGAGGCTTGGCTTCTTAAGATGAGGAGGAGTTCCTCCTTAAGATACTTTATAATCAATTTACGGAACTTTGTGCTTATGATCTGATTCGTTCATATTATAAATTACTCTGCAAAGATCATCTCTGTAAAAAAACATAATAATAATGAAAAATAGTATCATTTAGTCAATTAATTGTAGCAAAAAGATAAACAGTTTGCAATTCTTTATCGAATTCGTCCGCCTGTATTTATATAGTTCAATGACTAGATGATCTCATATTTTATTAATTTTTCATATATGATATTTACAAAATAATTTATAATATAAACGATTCTAATTATAAACATGAAATTCGTAAGTCAATCACGTAGTAAATTGAGGAGGAACTCACCCTCATTCATTGAGTAGTCAAGTTATAATTCTCTCTATATATAGAATCTAGTTCTTTTCCTAATTGTTGACTTGTCCTTGTCCGGATCATCTTTTGTTGGTTTGCTCTATAATCCAGCCCAGAATTCGTGGATTGTATAACAATGCGTATATCAAGATTAATTAATTCACATATAATATATATATCGATCATATAAACAGTGGTGGCAGCTTATTATTTTGTCATACATCGCCTTAATTCATGTTACTTTCAAACTGTCAATTTCAAACTCGTTTAAATATCAACTTAATCAAAATCACGCGCTTTGTCAATTTTTCAAACCACGTGTATAGGTCTTTAGTACTGTGTTAGGCATTCTATGTTACTTTGAGTGAGAGTAATATCTATATATAAGAAGAAAAATGTTATTGACACTTCAAAAATCTCACTTTGCACTCCAAACTGTATATAATTAGTAAGAAAATTACACTTGTGAGGAGTGTAGAATGAAATTTTTAGAAATTTCTAGAGGCCATGATGCAGCGATTGGGGTTCTCAGAAAGATGGATCCATATGATCATGTTGTGTGTTTCAATGGTCACGTACTCTTTTAAATTGAATGGTGATCTAGTGGGGTACGTGTCTCCAGAAAGAGGGATACATCAATGGGATCCTCTTTCCCCCCTTCTATTTGTTTTGTGTGCAGAGGGCCTCTACTCGGCCCTATTGTCAAAGACCGAACTTCAAGGCGAGTTACAGGGGATCAAAGTCTGTCGAGGTGCTCCTGGTATCCATCACTTGTTTTTCGCCAGTGACAGTTTTCTATTTTCCCAAGTACCATTAGTGAGTGTCAGGCTATTAAACAAGTGTTGCGGGTGTATGAATTGGCTTCTGGACAAGCTGTTAATTTTGAGAAAAGTTGTGTTTCGTTCAGTCCCAATCTTACTAACTATGACAAGCAATTATTAGCTGACTGTCTTGGGATGCGGCGTGTGGAATTTCATGATAAATAGTTGGGTCTACTGGTATTAGTTCGTAAATCGAAAAAGGAAACCTTTTCGTATGTGAAGGATATGGTATGGAAAAAGTTGCGGAGTTGGAAAGGTGGACTTTTGAGCAGTGCAGGCCGAGAGTTAATGGTGAAGACAGTGACATATGCTTTACCTACATATTCCATGCAAAGTTCTCTACTTCCTAAATCGTTTTGTGAAGAGTTGAACATGATGAAAGCAAAGTTTGGGTGGAGTGGTGATCTGGGGAAAAGGAAAATGCATTGGCTCAACTGGAGGGTGTTGTGTAAGCCCAAAATGGATGGTGGTCTTGGTTTTAGAGACCTTTATGCTTTTAACTTGGCTCTTTTAGCCAAGCAGGCTTGGCGATTTATGCGAGATACTAAGGGCCTAGTGTATCATGTGTTCAAGGCTCGGTATTTTCCTAATATCGATTTTCTAAACGCTCGGGTAACAGCTAATAGCTCTTATGTGTGGCATAGTATTGCTGCTTCGCCACCGGTACTCCAAAAAGGACTTCAGTGGCAGGTAGGTGATAGGAAAACGATCCGCATATGGAAGGATAATTGGGTACCGAGGGAAACATGTCTTCAGATTTTGACACCGCCCCCTGTACATTATAACAATGAAGCTACAGTGGAGGGATTGTTGTGGGTGGAATCAAAGTAGTGGAATGTGCGATTGTTAAATGGGATGTTCTCTCATGAGGAAGTGGAACTAATCCAAGGGATCCCACTTAGCCTACGTAATATTGCCGATAGAAAAGTATGGCATTATGATCGACATGGAAAGTTTACGGTGCGGAGTGCTTATCATGTTGCTCAAGGGATAATTGAAACTAGTGGGGAAGGGCTTGCAAGTTCTCATTCGACTACTGATATTAGTGGGGAGAAGATATGGACGAAATTGTGGTCGGCTTGTGTCCCGAGGAAAGTCAATGTTTGTGTGTGGCATGCATGCTTAAACTCTTTGCCTACAAGATCCAACCTTTGTAAGCGGAGAGTGCTAATCGTTGAAGGTTGTGTAATGTGTGGTTGTAACGTGGAGTCTGTAGAGCATGTTTTGCGGGATTGTCAGGTAGCTTGAGTGATGTGGTTTCAAGGATTGGGCTTATGTGTGGATGACGGGCATGGTATCAATTTTATGAATTGGCTAGCCAATTTTTGTTTATAGGGGCATGCATCGGGGTTTGATCTTGGATTAATGTTGATCTGGGCGCTCTGGAAAAATAGGAATGAAATATTATGGAATGGGAAGTCCGTAGATCCTGTAGAGATTGTACTTCACACTGAAGGTTGGTTGCAGGAATTTCACAAATGTCATAAAACAGCTACCAAGAAAATCAGCCGTGAGTTACGGAGGTGGAGGAAACCTGACGAGGGCTGATTAAATGCAATTTTGATGGGACATAGAATGAAAGAATGAACTAGGGCGGGTTTAGAGTGGTGATATGCAATCAGGCAGAGGCGTTTCTCGGTGCTGCAGCAAGACCTTTTGGAAGGATCACGTTTGCACTGCATGCGGAGTTCATGACAGCTCGACAAGCAATGCTACTGGTCAACAGGTTATACTTGGTAGATGTGCAGGTCCAGTTTGAAGGTAATGCAGCTTTGGTTCTGTCAACCATGAGGGGGCAAGGAGTTGTTTCTTCTAATTTTGGTCCCATATAAATGACTTACAGTGATTTCTTATGGAATGGCCGAATTCGAAGATTAGTCATGTCCAACGGGAAGGAAATTCAGTGGCACATCGGCTTGCTCGGATAGGGATTACTAATATCCAAGAGATGGTCTAGTTTGAGGAACCTCTGGATCTGATTCATGATATTCTCTATGAGGAATGACTTTAAATTTGATTGTTCATTTGATGATAGATTATTGTTGTGCAGGACACTCTTTTCCTTCGACCGGGTTGAAATCTCCGGTAAGGTTTTTATCAAGGCTCATTATGCACATTGTTTGTACCATATTTAGGGCCTCCGTATTTAGACCTCGTATAAATACTCTGGGGACTCAAATGTAATTATGTAATAAATAAATGGGCAAATATGTAATAAGTGAGGAGCCCTTAGTCTATAAAAGGGACTCCTTACCCTCACAAAGAGGGGGCCTGAGATCCCCAAAGCCTCACTCTCACATTACAAGCCTCATATCCTCACATACAGAGGCTCTCTCTCCCTCAAAATCTTCTCACAAACAGAGAAATACAATATCAGTGTGGACGTAGCCCAAACATTGGGGTGAACCATGATACATCTTGTGTTCTTTACTTTCTTGCGGATTCATGGTCGGATTTACGCTGTTCCAAGACCCCTCCGATTTTGTGCGTCAACATTTGGCGCCATCTGTGGGAAACGACAAGAAAAGCTATGTCGGTTCTCTTTCATTTTTTTTCACCTCCGCCGTGAATCTGTAAGAACCCAGAACCTCCCCCTCTGGGCTTTTCCAAAAAACCTTCGCAGTCTCTATGCAGTTTTAAAAAAAGAAAAAATACTTCCAAAAACCCATTTTTCTTTCTCTCGAATCTTCCGCAATCTTCCCCTCCATTACACAACCCCATTTTGACTATCTCTTTATCTCTCTCTCTCTCTCTAAACTCCAGATGCTGTTCTCAATCCCCTGTACAGACAAACTCCCTCTATCTATATAGATATAGAGTCACCCAATATTACCCACCAGTCATTCACATTCAAACATCATTCAGAAGAACCAGAATCAGAGAAGATAGAGAATTTGGGATGATGAGCAGCAGGGAGAGTAGAGAAAATGATGAAGAAGATGGGAAAGGTTTGTCGTGGAAGCTTCCAATCCTTGGAACCCAGGGTCTCGCCTTTGGCCTCGGCGCTAGCTGTGGCTTGGGTTTCGGCATCTGCTTCCTCGGCGACGCAGGATTTGGTCCTGGGATTCCTGGCTTGCAAGTTGGCTTGGGCCTTGGTGCTGGATGCGGGGTTGGCTTAGGATTCAGCTACGATGTCGAAAAGGGCATTGCCTACAATGATAATCGCAGATACTCTAATGTAGGCAACCTTTTTCCTGGTGAAAATGTCGGCATTTCTCCTGCTTCTTGAGATCTGTCTACTCACGATGATATTGGTGCACTTGTTGAAGAGCTTGTTGATAATACGAAGAAACTTGTTAGAGCTACTACAAGAGAGATGGACAAGTGGAGAATATGAGGTTGCTTTTGGTGAAGATCTGTATGCGGGCCCCGCTTGTTAAGCTAAGGGAGAAGATCGAGCAGTTCAGAGACTCCGTGCAGAACTCGCTTATGGCTTTGATGAACGGATTGAAGCAGAGATCAAAGGCGGCTGAGGCCAGAGAGGTCTTGGAGCTCCTGATTGATACGTTTCATGTCGTTCAATCCGGATGCTTATGGGTTTATGGTTGCTTTTGCTGGGCGAAATTATGTTACAAGGTCTCTTCCTACTTTTGTTGCTAATGGTACCTACACTGTTACCACCTTTACCCTTGTGCTTGAGTTCAACAAGGGCAGGCTGCAGAACTTGTACTGGAAAAAGGATAGGTGCTCTAAATGTTCAGGGAGCTCTGACTTTGTTTGCCTCAACAATCAGAACTGCGCCTTCAAGACCTCGAGCTGCAAAAACCATGGCGGCTCTGTGGACTGCAGCATCATAATCCAGTTGGCATTTTTCGGCACAAACAAGCACCTTTCGGTTCTTAACTCATGGAGATCGATGTCTTCACATTCGTGTATATACAAGTGGGTGGTGTCAAAAAGGCTGCCCAAGCAGTTGTCACTTTAGAGAAAGGAATATTGCCTTTAATCATGTCATCAAGCGACATATCCAAAGCAGAAAGCAGAAACAAAAGCGAAAGAAAAGCAGAAAAAAACCGAGAAAAAACAGAAAGCAAATGGGAGGCTTTCCTCTGCGAGAGCACATGGGGACACTGCAAAAGCAAGGAATACCCACACTGCAAAAACAAGGAATAAACACCCCACCAGAATGATGTGATATACTTTTCTTGTTTTTGAATGATGTGATTTATTTTTCTTATCTTTCGGAAACATTTGTATAACCCCATCAGAGGGTAATAAAAAAAATAAAAATAAAAAATGGCAAGCCCAAAATAATGGGCTGGAATGTTATGTGGAGGGCGAAGGCCCATATGCCCAAAAGAGCCAGGCCCTCTATTAGCACCAACCAGGTGATCAAAAGTACGCCTAGTACTCCAAAATTATTCGACAGCCTGCCGCTATTATCACCAACCAGGTGATCAAAGTATGTCCAGTACTCCAAATTTATTCGGCACCCTGCCGCTATTATCACCAACCAGGTGATCAAAAATACACCCAGTACTCCAAAATTATTCAGCAGTCTGTCGCTATTATCACCAACCAGGTGATCAAAAGTACGCCCAGTACTCTAAAATTATTCGGCAGCATGCCGTTATTATCACTAACCAAGTGATCAAAAGTACGTCAAGTACTCCAAATGAAGGAATTATTTTGAAAAACATGTTCATTTGAGCAACATCATATAGCATGCAATTAACAATTAAAAGGCGGAATCATGCTTGTATGCACTCAAAAACAAAACATGACCATGAAATTCAAAGCCTAGTAGATTGGTGAACCAATAATCAACTAAAAAATAAGTGAGTTGAAATTAATACCTTTGTAGATTCCTCTTTGCATAAGCAAAGGCTAATCACCCAAAGAGATAGGGCCTTCATTCCTTGCTTCTTAGATCCATGGATTTGGATGGAAGAATAGGTTCTCCAAGTTCCCAAAATTGAGAACCTCTAAGTCTCTACACCAAGGAGAGATTGGATGATGAATGAGTGACCTTGGAGGATTAGATGACTAGCTAATCACCTCCAAGGTGTTGGCCTCTTTAGAGAGAAAATGGAGAGACAATTCTCACCCATTTTCCCCAAAAATAAACCCTTATTTCACTTAATGAATATTTGGCTATAAAGTCATTTTATATAGTCACTTCTTTAAGTGACCTAAATAACCAAAACCCTAATTCATTCATTCCTTATGGCCGGCCATTTAGGGATTTTTGGGCTTTTGGGCTTTAATGAATCTTTATTCATTAAATTGTCATACAACTTAAGTTAATGGGCTTGACGTTCGAAGCCCATTGGGCCTTAAGGTCCAAAACTATCCCGTGGTCTTTAACGAACTTATTCGTTTGATTAATTAACATATTAATTAATCCTTGCCATAAATAATTAAACCATTCAATTAATCTTACTCATTTCATTTATTTCGTCCATCTCTACCTTACACGGTGTACGATCCATTAGGTTCCTTTTAGCGAGGTAGTGGGCGATTAAAACCATTTTACATCGATTGTGAATTGAAACTATTTTCAATTCTCCCTTTAGTGATTACACACGTTTAGGGCTTCCACAAACCATGAGTGACACCTAGCCGTATGTCATGGTTACCCAAGCTAATCAGAAGAGGTGGAGAACCTATTCAGTCTGGGATTACAAATGCAATACGGTCCTTCTCTAATCTAATACTCTTGACCACATTGTTTGGTTTGATAGTTTATTTTCTCATGTCTACTATCCAATGTGTGTCTTGTGCTTATATGATTACCTTGAATGTGATTAGGAACACATTCCCAAATCTCATTCATACTCTGGCCAGAGATTCAAATCATATCAGAGAGTATTCTCCCTCAAACAGTTTGAAGGTTAGAGATCCCTTGTTGCGCATTCACTTGTCTCCATAGCTAAGCGGCTTGACCCCAACGATGCCGTGGACACCCTCCTGGTGGGATGACTTTGACATAATCAAAGATCAAGGTCTTAACCACAAGACAACTATGATGCCTCAGGTCAAAGGACTACTTTGCATTATCCCAACCATGAGTTCTCATGTGACATGGAATATGAGAACTCTTCGTTGATCGCGTTCAGTGAACTCATTCTCTATTGAGCACCTACCGCACTTGTCTTGATGTCACACACACCAATGATTCGAGACTAATCACTCTCCCTGAGAGAAGACATAGTACGTACCGATCTTGACGGACTGTCAATGCCCAATTGGCAATCCTATGATCAGGAACGTTTAGGATGTGTCTACGAAAGAATGGTCTCAAGAATCTAACTTCATTAGATTACATTCTCCCAATCACAAATTCCTTGGACTTTATTGTTTAAGCATATAACATTTATATGAGACGGCTCAAACAATAATGTATGCCCTTTATATGTTAAACTAGATTAGTTTAACATGTGAAATGTCCGTAAAGTATCATCACATGATTGGCTTTAGGGCACATTTCCAACAATCTCCCACTTGCACTAGAGCCAATCAGCTTGATCATCAATGATGATATCTCTTCTGTAGTCATTTCATAAATGGCTGAATAGTAGGCCTAGACAGTGGATATCTATATGTGTTATCCATAGAAGCAACCTTGAGAATACCGACGTCACCATTATACATGATTCTCAATCATGTGGTTCAGTCTCTCATTTGTGTTCGGATCTTGATGAGACCTTGATTCCCAGGCTTGAGCTATCGCCCCATTAGTGTCATACACTTTCTGGTTGGAACCGAATAGAGAGTTCATAAATGAACTTTCCCATCCAAACAACATTGTTGTAAACTTCTATATGGCAATATATCTTGCATTCATATGGAACACACTAAAGTCATTACTTTAATGTTTCCATCCAAATATCTCTTTAGTCATAATAAAGAGATATTCGTTTATCTCTTCATTCATAATGAAGAAACATCCAATGATGGATTAGATTCATAATCTAATACATTTACGCTTCCATTACGTTACTTTGATTCTTCCTCGATCTTTGAGGAATTTATCCTTTAGTATTTCTTAAATACTTAAGGACTCACTTGACAGTTGCCATGGTTCTGATCCTGGGCTTGCACTGATATCATCTTATACCGTTCTAGGTACAACTCATATCAATGTTTTTCATACAATATGAAATACATAAATCACCTTTGTGCATATGCATAAAGGATTCTATTTACGCATTATTTCTTTGGGAGTCAAAGGGGTACATTCCCTTTGAGAAGGGCAACTTGCTAGTCTCACTAGAATCGTCCTTTCTTATTGAAGTTTTATCATCATATATGAGAAACTTCCTAGCATCCATTGTCTATTATTAGGCATTGATATAATCCAATTATATCATGAAATATATCATTATAGATTTCCATCCCATGTATATAGACTATATCTCCCATATACATTCTATCGTTTATAGAATGCTTAAAGTCATAACTTTAACGAAGAAGTATTCTTTTCATTTCCAAAATTAATATATCATATATATTTAAATTTTAGGAACATGATTAACTCCCACTAATCTTTTGTAAAACTAGTAAACAAAAGATTCATTTATATCTTTATGAGAAATCAAACGATTTGAACCTTTTCTCATAAAATGCAAATAGCTCCCACTAACTTGCTAAGATCCATGATGATGATGGATCTCTACAACTTACATGTCTTGTGATTTATAGTTTTAGACATATATTATCAAGACTATCTTAATAATGGTTTCGGAAACCCATATTATGTCCAAACATTGAATCACCATTTAGTTGTAGTTAGCAATCTTCGAATTAATTGAAACCAAGACTATCTCAAAGATGGTTTCTTCAAAGTCAACCATTCTCTTTGATTGTAGTCACCTTAAGCTACCAATTAGCTATGAAGGTTTCATTATTTCGAGTCAAATGGTACTTTACCATTTCCTTGAGTATATATCGTATATGCACTCAATGTAGTTATAAGGATTTTCATTCTTATTTCTTTCGAATTAAGAGGTGCAACTCTATGACATAGTCATAAAGTTCAAAACCATTCAACTGAGACGGTTTATAAATCCTTATCGACTACCTTGGAGCTTGTGGTATAGGAACTAGGTTGTTATATTTGTTGATTACTTTCTTGTCTCTCAAAGAACCCATTCTTTGAGTTCTATCTCTCGTTCATTTGCTTTTAGGCAAATCACATTGTAGAATTACAATGAACTACCCAACAAAACAACATTTGTTAGTTGGTTTATAGAAGCGATATCCAAAAGTTATTTTAAGGATATCCTACAAGATTATTATCAAACAAATATTGCTTGTTAGCACACAACCCCAAATCTTTAACATGCTTAAGATTTGTCTTTCTTTCCAACTACATCTTATGGAGTCATGAAAATATTGGAAGATCTTCTCATTGACAATCATATTGTTTTAGAAGTATATATCCTATATATGGGTAATAGATAACATCTAACGAACTAAATCTTATTCAAGTTCGTTCTTCTCCTAATGGAGAAATACATTATCTTATGATGCTATTTCCTTGATATCTTTCAAGGAAACTTATCTAAAGTGTTACCTTTCCTTGGATCAAATCTAAGGAGGTAAATACTTTAGATGTCTTACTCATCAACTTACATTTCTTGAATTCTTTGAAACATTTTTCAAAGTATTCGGACTTGTGTTTATTCAAAATAAACTATAGTCCAACCGAGAGTGATCTTCGGTGAATGTTATCCAACATGAGTAGTATTATGTTTTGTGGACAAGTGCCACTAACATTTAAGTGAATTAACCTCAAACAACTTTGTGATTCTTTCTTCTTTCCAAAAGAATAAAGATTCGAACATTTCGCCTCTATACAATTTTAACAAGAAGGTATTGGATCCGGATCTAACGATCCAAAGCATCCATTTATGACCAACTCGTAATTTATGTTTTAGAGGTATCACAACTTTAGTTGGGATTAGTCATTAGTCCTACCCT